CTCTACATAGAGACCTTCGTCCACACTGTCTTCTTCTTCTGCTCCTCCTTCTACACAGAACACTGTACTAAACAACTTATCAATAACAGCTTGCTAAAAGGAATTCTTTCTCCCTTAGTTTTGTGACACCTCAGAGGCAGTCTAGATAAAATTCCTCAAATTAATCAGAGATAAAATGAATATTCTTTAATTTAAAATAACTGTCAAAATAATAGTAATTTAAATGGGACGAGAGGCAGCAAGAAGTGGCAGAATTACTGAAATTTAAAATAGCTCACATCTATAGGCAGATGACCTGAATAGACATTTTGCCAAAGAAGACATCCAGATGGCCAACAGACACATGAAAAGATGCTCAACATCACCATCATCAGGGAAATGCAAATCAAAACCACAATGAGATATCACCTCACACCTGTCAGAATGGCTAGTATCAAAGAGAAAAGAAATAATAAGTATTGGCAAGGATGTGGAGAAAAGGGAACTCTTGTGCACTGTTGGTGGGAATGTAAATTGGTGCAGCCCCTGTGGAAAACAGTATGGAGGTTCCTCAAAAAACAAAAAACATATCATCCAGTAATTCCACTCCTGGGTATTTACTCAAAGAAAACAAAAACACTAATTTGAAAAAATAAAAGCACCCCTATGTTTATGCAGCATTATTTATAGTAGCCAAGATATGAAAGCACCCTCAGGTGTCCACCTGCGGATGAATGGATAAAGAAGATGTGCTATATATACAATGGGATATTTCTCAGCCATAAAACATGAGATCTTGCCATTTGTGACAACATGGATAGACTTGGGTAATAAGTGAATAAGTGAAATCAAGCAAAGACAAGTATCATATGATTTCATTTATATGTGAAATCTAAAAAACAAAACAAATGAACAAACAAAAAAACCCAAACAGACTCTTAAATACAGAGAATAAACTGGTGGTTGCCAGAGGGGAGGTGGGTAGAGGGATGGGTGAACTAGGTGAAGGGTAGTAAGAGGTACAACCTTCCAGTTATAAAATAAATAAGTCATGGAGATGAAAAGTATAACAAGGAATATAGTTTAAAAAAAAAAAGCCCACACTTATTAAGTGCTTGCTCGGCACCACACCCATTATCTTATTTAATTCAGATGTTACCCACATTTTACAGATGAGGAAATAGAAGTTTAGTGAAGTGATTTGTTCAAGTCCCCAGAGCTGAACTGGCAGCATGTGGATTTGAACCCAGGCAATCTGACCCTGGGGTGAGCGTCAGCCCTTATGCATCCAGCTGTAGTCCTAAAGGGGTAGAGGATCACTGAATGGGGCTGGGGACCTAGGGGAAAGGTGACTTTTCAGGAGTTGTAAGAACAACTTGGCTGAATTCTAGAGGCCCCAGCTTTCAGTGTCTGGGCCTATGCAAATCTTCAAGTGAGTGTGGTCCCATTTCTTTGTTTCCATCTGTCTTAGTGAAACTGCGTCTGCTTAGCGGTGTGGAGTATTGCTTTCCTAGTTTAGAAAGTTCATTTATAAAGGCAGCTGAAGTGAAGAATATGGTTCAAGAGGGTGCCCCAGCTTGCAGGTGTTAGGGGAATAGGGTGGGGGTGGGGAATGTAGGGCTGGAGAATTGAATTCAAATAAGTTGAACCTTTGAATCTTGAAGAATGTGGGAGGAAAAAAAGCGTAGACGTAGGTCCGAAGCCTTGGCAGTATCTATCCCTGGACCTGTCCTAAAGACCCTGTTCTTGTTCGTTTTCTATTTCTAATACAAAAGCACAAGGAGATAGTTGTAGTTTCCAATTTCTTGATGGCAAAATTGTATGCAGACACTGGAGAAGATTTCCACATGCCCTTCTCTACTACAAAAGTAAACACGTTTGCTGGAAAAAAATTAAAAACAAGAAAGAAAAAGTAACAATATAAACGACAATCCCACTGCATAGCGAAATCCACTATTTATATATTGTGAACCATACTCTTGCAGGTCACAAACTCTTCAAGAGAATGGTATCAAATGATTGGTTGAACAAGATGGGAAGGAGGGAGGAAAGGAGAGGCCACGGTGAGGCCAGAATTAACAAGATTAACCCTTGTATTAGCCAGCTGTGTCTGACCGCTTTCATAAGCTCCTACATTTTGCAGGGAGCAGCATGTCAGTTCCTGAAGACAGGGCACCCATGAGGCCCCTCCTTGACCACTGACCATAGGTATCATCTCTGCCCTACTCTGAACGCCCTCCCCCAAATCTGGAGCAAGGCCTCTCAAGAGATTTTGAAAACCCTGCTCCCCCCAGCCCCCCAGAACCATCCAGGAGCCAGTCAGCCATGCCGTGTGTGCCTAAACACAGTCTCCTGGTACTCTCTGCTGGGCGCTCCATAAGCCACAGCCTTAAAGGGCTCTCAAAACTTCTGGGTTCTCTCTGGAAACCACCCCACCTGGGCCTTCTGAAAGGCTGTACCCCTGGAAAATATGAGGAAAGCTGAAGTCAAGCAATTACTGGGAAATTTTGTTTGGTCTGAAGTCTGTTGTCAGCCCGTCTTCTCCTCTACTACTGTGTAACCCAACGTGTGTGTTCATCATGGGTGATTTATTTTATTTATTTGAGAGAGAGAGAGAGAGAGAGACAGTGCAAGCAGGGGGAGGGGCAGAGGGAGAGGGAGAAGTAGAGTCTCCGCTGAGTATGGAGCCTGAATCTGCTCCATTCCAGGACCCTGAGATCAGTACCTGAGTCAAAGGCAGACTCATTTATTTATTTATTTGTTTGTTTGACAGAGAGAGACACAGCGAGAGAGGGAACACAAGCAGGGGGAGTGGGAGAGGGAGAAGCAGGCTTCCTGCTGAGCAGGGAGCCCGATGTGGGGCTTGATCCCAGGACCCTAGGATCATGACCCGAGTGGAAGGCAGACACTTAACGACTGAACGACCCAGGTGCCCCCAAAGGCAGACTCTTAACCGACTGAGCCACCCAGGCGCCCCTCATCACATGTGATTTAGATATTTTTTCCTTTGAGGGTGGGGAATGTTTTTCCTCTTAAATTGATGGTTTGATTTGTTTGTTTTTGTTATATATAGAGAGAGAACATGCAGGCATGGTGGCGGGCAGTGGGTGGGTGGAGTGGGGGAGAGGCAGGGGGAGAGGGAGATAAGTAGTCTCAGTGCTCAGCACAGAGGCGGTCTGGGGCTTGATCTTATGACCCTGAGATCATGACCTGAGCCGAAATCAAGAGTCCAATGCTTAACTGACTGAGCCACCCAGGGACCCCTTGATTTGTCTTTAATAGAAAACCATCAATAGGGGGCACTTGGGTGGCTCAGAGGGTTAAGCATCTGCTTTCCGCTGGGGTCATGATCTCAGGGTCCTGGGATCCAGCTGAGCCCTGCATGGAGCTCCCTGCTCAGTGGGGAGTCTGCTTCTCTCTTTCCATCTGTCCCTCCCACCACCCCACCCCTTGTTCATGCTCTCTCTCTCTCAAATAAAATTTTTTAAAAAAGAAAAGAAAACCATTAACAGTACAGAAGAGTATATATAGTGAAGAATTTTCCTTCAGCCTCTCTTATCTAATCTCCCAGTTTCCTTCCCAGAGGTAGCCCCGCTATTGAGTGACTAGACAGCTGTCTGTCAGTGGCTTTGGAGGCTTCCCAAAGCTCCAGCAGGGTCTCCAAAGCCCTGCCCAACTCTCCATTCTTCCCTCGAGCCACATTTTTCCTTGCCTTGTGCTCCAGCCACACTGGCCTTCCCTCCACTCCTACCTTGGGACCTTTGCCCATCCATGGTGGGGGCTCCACTTGAGTGCTCTCCCCTCTTCCTTTGTCCAGCTAAGCTCCTCAGGTCTTCATTTACATGCAACTTCCTCAGAAGGGCCTTCCTGACTTCTCTCGATGAAGTCCGTCTCTTCATCTACATTTCCTGTGGGGCATCTTCTGAACTTGTGGTTATAGATTTATTTGAGTGACTGTGTGTTTAATGTCTGTCTCCAACTAGACTATAAGCTCTCTGAGGGCAGGGACTCCAGCATCCCACACAGATGGCATGAGATGTCCTGCACATGGTGTTTGATTTACTGAGGGAAGAAATGTAGTCTTTTTTTTTTTTAAAGATTTTTATTTATCTATTGAGAGCAAGAATGGTAGAGAGAGAGCATGAGAGGGAAGAGGGTCAGAGGGAGAAGCAGACTCCCTGCCGAGCAGGGAGCCCGATGTGGGACTCGATCCCGGGACTCCAGGATCATGACCTGAGCCGAAGGCAGTCGCTTAACCAACTGAGCCACCCAGGCACCTGGAAGAAATGTAGTCTTGACTGAATATTTGGTTAGTGGGTGGCAGTTGTTTTTTTATGTATTTTCTGACTTTTAACTTAAAAAAATTATGGAAAATCCCCAATGTATATAAAAGTAGGACCAGTGCCTCAAACTATACACATTATCTGGATTCACTAGTGGTCAAGATTTTGCCACATTTGCATAATTTTACTCTCTTTTACTTTACTTTTTTCCTAGCCTTCTGAAGATGCGGAAATATGAATGATAGCTGCCTTTTATTGAGTGTTTACTCTGTGCTGGTAACTGTGTTAAATGTTTCTAATGGGTAGTAGTATTTAATCCTCTCAACAACCCTGCTAAATGGGCTTTTAGAGATAAGGAAATTTTAGAGATAAGGAAACTGAGACAATTTAAGTCACTTTGTGCGGTGTCCTCAACTCAGTGGATAGAAAAGCTAGGATTAGAATCCAGGTCTCTGACTCCAAAGTCCAGATTCTCAACCACCAAAGAGCTTGCTGCAGACTTCATCTAAGTACACGTCTCTCTCACCTGCCTTCCTTCTTGATACCTACAGACTTGAAAAATGTTTGAAGCATTTTTATTGTGCCTAAGCTGTAAGGGAAATGTTCTCATGTCTGTGAAAGGAGCATGGCAATTGGCTTTATTATTCCCCTATAATAACACCACCTCAGCCAATAAATGTTTATTGAACGCTTTTTTATTTACCAAGCACTGGGTTGAGAGCTGGGAAAACAACAGTAAGGAAAAAAATAAATACTGTTCTTGCTCTAGTGGAGCAGAGTCAAGTCTAGGTCCTCCAACATTAATTCAGATAGTTTGTGGTTGAATCCATCCTTTGTAAATATACTCTTGGCTTTTCAGCTGAAGCTGTGAGTTTAGACTGGGAGAAATAAGATGAAACATCTGATACTGAGGGTTCACAAGAGTTGACTCCACTGTTCACAGGTCTCCTCTGTGGGACCCTCATCTACTTTTTTCTTTCCCTTTGCTTCATGACTACCTGAAGCAATACTACTTTCATTTCTGATTGGGCAGAGGAAGGATAAAGATCTGTAATTCGAAATTACTGTGATGGCTAACCAGGGCTGCCGTGTATTATTATGCAGTTAGTGTACTGCACAAAGACACCTGGTTGAGGAGGCCAGTTGGAGCTGCATCCAGCCTGAGCCCCAAGTGCCATGCTGAGACCCTGACCCGAGGCTAGATATCCCTGAGGAAGGGGTGCCTTCTTCCCCCAGGCTTCCCACTGCAGACCCACAGAAGCATCACGTAGCCCAAGGTGGCCCTCTCAGTAGAGCTAGGAAAAGAATGGAAAGGGAAGAGTTAAAACTGCCCTGTCACACTGAAGTTTTGTGAAATTTACCATTTGTGCTCTTCATGTCTCCCATTGACTCAGTGCAAGTTCCACTGGAGGGACTTCAGGTGTTTGTTTTTTAATAGACATTTCTTTTCCTTTTTAAAAGAATTTATTTATTTATTTTAGAGAGAGGGAGAGAGAAAGCACAAGTGGGGGGGAGGGGCAGAGGGAGAGGGAGAGAGAGAATCTCAAGTAGACTCTGTGCTGAGCACAGAGCTGGATGTGGGGCTCAGTCTCACGATCCTGAGACCATGACCTGAGCAGAAACCAAGAGTCGGATGCTCAACTGAGCCACCCAGGTGCCCAGACATTATTTCTTAGAGCAGTTTTAGGTTCACAGCAAAATTGAGTTGAAGGTACTGAGATTTCCCATATGTATATCTTCTGCCCCTACATGTGCACTGCTTCCCTCATTATCAACATCCCCCACCAGAGTGGTCCATTTGTTACTACTGATGAGCTTACACTGACGTATGGTTATCACCCAAAGGCCTTAAGGTTTTGATGGCAATAAGAACACAAGTATTGGTTCAACATAGGAAAAATGCATCATGGTTAAAAGCATAAGATTTAAAGGGTGTATGTTATGGCTTAAGAAACTTCCTGCCAGGGGTGCCTGACTGGCTTAGTAGAACACATGGCTCTTGATCTCTTGTGAGTTTGAGTCCCACATTGAGGGTAGAGATTACTTAAAAAAAAAAAAGAAAAGAAACTTCCTGCCAGCATGTAACTGGAAATAATGGAAGAATTAGTAATAGTTTTCAATTATTGGTTTATTTGTTAGTCTTAATTTCTAGAGTTGAGTGGATCATCTCATCATAATGATGAAGAAAATTGGGGCACCTGGGCAGCTCAGTTGGGTAAGCATCTGCCTTCTGCTCAGGTCATGATCTCAGAGTCCTAGCTCTGGATCTAGCCGCGTGCCCGGCTCCCTGCTCAGCGGGGAGTCCACTTCTCCCTCTCTCTCCTCTGTCCCTCCCCCCACCCTGCTCATTCTCTTTCTTTCCCTCTCAAATAAATAAAAATCTTTAAAAAATGATGAAAATAACATACAAAGCCATCTATGAATTTTTAAAAAGATTTTATTTATTTATTTGACACACAGAGAGAGCCAGAGAGCATGAGTGGGGGAAATAGCAGAGGCCGCTGGAGAAGCAGGCTCCCCACTGAGCAGTGAGCCTGATGCGGGACTTGATCCCACGACCCTGGGATCATGACCTGAGCCGAAGGCAGACGGTTAGCTAACTGAGTCACCCAGATGCCCCAAAGCCATTTATGAATTAACCCAAAGGTTTTCCATTGAAAAAAAATTGAGATGTAATTGAAATGTAACATTGGATAAGTTTAAGGTATACATGTCAATTTGATATATTTATATATTGCAATATAGCTGACATTGTAGTGTTAGCTAAAACCTCTATGACATCGTATAATTATCATTTCTTTGTGTTTTTTTAAGATTTTATTTATTTGACAGAGACACAGCGGGAGAGGGAACACAAGCAGGGGGAGTGGGAGAGGGAGAAGCAGGCTTCCCACAGAGCAGGGAGCCCAATGCGGGGCTCGATCCCAGGACCCTGGGATCATGACCTGAGCCGAAGGCAGACGCTTAATGACTGAGCCACCCAGGTGCCCCCATTTCTTTTTTTCTGGGGAGAATAATTAAGATCTAGTCTCTTAACAAGTGTGATGTTTATACTACAGTTTGTTCTCTATAATCACTATACTGTGCATTAGATCTCCAGGACTTATTTATCTACAAGGTGCTAGTTTGTAGCCTTAGACAACATCTCTCCTATTTCCTCATCCCTCAGGCCCTGGTGACAAACATTCTATTCTCTGTTTTTATGAGTTTAGCTTGTTTGGATTCCACATATAAATGATACCATACAGTATTTCTGACTTATCTCACTTAGCATAATCTAGTCAAGTTCTATCCGTGTTGTCACAAATGGCAGGGTTTCCTTCTTTCTCTCAGCTGCATAATATTCCATCGTGTATATGTATATCACTTTCTCTTTACCCATTTACCCTTTGGCAGATACTTGGGCTATTTCCATATCTTGACAATTGTGAATAACGCTACATGTAACTCTTCAATACCCTGTTTTTGTTTCCTTTGGATATATTCCCAGAAGTGGAATTGCTGAATCATATGGTAGTTCTATTTTTAATGTTTTTTTTTAAAGATTTTATTTATTTATTTGACAGAGAGACACAGCGAGAGAGGGAACACAAGCAGGGGGAGGAGAGAGGGAGAATCAGGGTTCTGGCTGAGCAGGGAGCCTGCTGCGGAGCTCGATCCCAGGACCCTGGGATCATGACCTGAGCCGAAGGAAGACACCCAACGACTGAGCCACTCAGGTGCCCTAATTTTTTGAGGAACCTCCATACTGTTTTCCATAGTGGCTGCACCAATTTATATTCCCACCAATAGTGCACAAGGGTTCCTTTTCTACACATTCTTGCCGACACTTTTTTTTTTTTAAAGATTTTATTTATTTATTTGAGAGAGAGAGCATGAAAGAGGGGAGGTCAGAGGGAGAAGCAGACTCCCTGCTCAGCAGGGAGCCCGATGCGGGACTCGATCCCAGGACTCCAGGATCATGACCTGAGCCGAAGGCAGTTGCTTAACCAACTGAGCCACCCAGGCACCCTTGCCAACACTTTTTATCTCTTGTCTTCTTGATGATAGCCATTCTAATAGGTATGAGGTGATATCTCGTCATGGTTTTGATCTATATTTCCCGGAATATTAGTGATACTAAGCATTTTTTCAAGTATCTGTTGGGCATTTGGATGTTTTCTTTGGGAAAAAAGTCTGTTTAATTCCCCTGCCCATTTTTTAATTTGTTGTCTCTTTATTATTGAGTTATATGAGTTCTTTATATATTTTGGATATTAACCCCTTATCTATTTTTATTATTGTGTATAATAGTATCAATAACTTTAATTTAGTGAACACAGATATGTGCAGGGCCTTGTACTAAGAATGTTACACATGTTGCTTTATTTAATGGTCTCATAAGGGGGTGTTCTTATCTCAGTTTTATACACAGGGACACTGACGTTTGAGTTTCTCAAGATCATATAACAAAGAAGTGGCTAAAAATGGAGCTTGAACCTGGTCTGTTTGACTCCAAAACCTGCACATCTCACCACCGTCTTATGCTCCTCTGTTTTAGAAGAGATCTATTCAGTTAGCTTTCAGATCCCTATCCTGACCAGAGTACCCACCACACAGATTTCAGACTGCTAGAAAATATTTCCAGTCTCCTTCAATTTAGAATCTTTCTCAGCTTTCCTTCCTTAAATATCTGCCACCCTCATAAAGTATAACTGATGGCCAGGAATCCTTCTTGGGGAATGTAGCCAACTGATGACTCTTTCTTAGCGCAACCACGACTCACACTTATGTCACAAACCCCAAACCAACCCTAGCTTTTTATCTGTGTCAACCTCAGCCAAAGCTCTGACCTAAGAATATGCAAAATCTCATAGGATTTTTCTCTTTGACAGTATCCTCACCGATGTCCATAGGGGAGGGCAGTAATTTAAAAGGACTAAGACGAGAAAGTTGTGTGCAATTCCGTTTGGAGGGGAGAAAAGAGACTTCAGTTGAACAGGGTGGAGAATGTAATGGTGGGAACTTGGGACAGGAGCTAGTGTCACAGAGATGGTTTTCATGGCCCTGAGGTCACAACTTTGAGCAGGACTTGACTGCTTTGGGTTCAAGGGAGATTAATCAGGTAATTGGTTTGCAATTCTTGAGTGGCATGGCATTTTATTTCACCTTTTCCTCTAAGGAGCCCATAGCTTTTATAAGACAAACTCATCAGTAATAATAACTCCCATTTGTTTTGCTCTTACCCTTTTTATTGTTTAGGGCACTTTATAGACCTTTCATTTAATCCTCACAAATACCCTGTCAGTACCTGCATTTTACAGAAGACAAGAGGGAGGCCCAGGAAGGGTAAATAACTTGCTCAAGGAAACAGAGCTAGTAAGGGGCAGAGCTTGGATTCAAAAGCGAACAGCCTGCCTCCAAGCTGGGCTCTTAACCTCTCTACTCCCTGTACTCCCGAATTCTTGCGGTGGGGGCACAGGGAGTAAGGATGCCTATGCAATCCATTTTGCATATAGAGCTTGTTAGGCTGCAAATGCTTGGAATGCTTCTTGCCACCTTTTTGTTTCCAAGACTAGGGGTTTTCCCCAAACACTCTTGGCCTCCGTCCCGCCTTCCCTCCTCCCCTGGGGAGATGGAGTGTTACCTGAATGGGAGGAGACAGGAGCCCGCACGGCCTACTGTCCTCCCATTCTTTCTTGGGGTTGCAGTCTGCCTGTAGAGACTGAACACTTTGATCTGCTCCTCCAGGGGCTGGTCTCCCCTGTGGGGTGAGGATGAGGAGGCCTTGGGTGGTCCAGTGCTCTGGAGTATTTAAGGCTGCCTAACAGGTTCAGTGCCGGGAGGCCTCTTGCTTCCCATAAACCCAGTCTCCGTATCAGCTTAATCGAGGGGATGCTTTGAACCTTACCTGATTGTCCTTTGTCTTATTTCTCAGTTGATCTACAACTCAGATTGAGAAGAGAGGTGTTATGTATCCTGATCACACCCTCCCCCAGAACTACTAAGGAAAAAATAAATAAAGAACTATAGAGAAATAATAAGATATCATATGAATTAAAGACTCTTGATGTAGCATCCAATGAATCCACCCCCTTCCAGGGTGATCAGTTCATCAATTAAGCTAAAGGATGGAACAGAGCAGGTACTTTGCTTGCATCATCTCAATTAACTCCTTTAACAATCATGTGAGGTGAGGTTTATTATCTCTGTGTTATTTATAAGGAATTTATATCTTTTTCAGTCAGAAAATATTGGGTATGGCCCACAAGCCAGGCTTTGTTCCAGGAGGCTCAGAGAGGTAATGAGACTTGCT